TGTAATGGTAATCTCGTGATGGTTTCTTAAAGCCAAGATTTAGGTTAGTAAGCAAAATAAGCGTTTGTTTTAATCTATTAACATGTATGGCAAGCGAGTGGGCCAGGCAAGCGAGTGGGCCACCCCACCAACTTTGCGCACCTGTTTAAGCGTACACCTCAACCACGTTAAGAGATATTATAGAGATATTAATATAGTTAATTAAGCAGTATCTTAAGTATCTTTTTTGCACGTACGTGAGTTGTGCCCAGTCTCCCTGCACCTCTTGCAGCGCGCCAGAGCCTGGCGGCTGAGGCCTGATCGCTCTCCACCTTGACGCTGTTCATGCTCTATCTGCTGGTCAGCCTCCTTTTGAGCTATTATATCCTCTCCTTCTCCCTTTGTTAAGATCCCCTTCCTCTGTATCCGCTTCTTTTTACGCTGCCTACGCTTTGTTGCTGCCTCGTTTGCTTTCTCAAGGCTGGTGATCCGATCGCGCATCAGCTCAGCTGAGAGCATCATCACCTCAGCCCCCTTCTTGAGCTGGTCAATCGCCTCAATAATTGAAGCTGGTGATGAGCTCTTATGCCTTCGAACGCGCTCACGTATCAACGTTGATTGCGCCTCAAGCTTACGTACGTTGCTCGGCGTACGAGCCTCCTAAGGAGCCTCTGGCAGAGCGGCTGGAGTAGGCGTACGCAACTGCACGTCAAGCCTTAACAGAACAACGTCTGGTTGAAGTGGAACAAGGCCTGCGCCTCGAAAAGCTGAGCAGATATTGGCTGAGGTGAATGATCGATCAAACGCTGCCTTGAACGCTGGCAGAAACTCGAGCTTGGTGATGTGGTTGATGTGGTGGCGGATCAGGCTCTCCACCTCACGACTGTACGCGCTTTAATGGCGAGAAGCAGCTAACATCAAGCGGCTGCAGTAGGTGAGATGAGTGAGGTGGCATACAGAGCGTGTAGATGTTGTACTCCTTGCAGAGCTCTTGAAACTCAAGAGAGTGGTGGCTCTTATGGCCGTCAAGGATAAGCAGGCGACGTGCACCTACAACACGAGCCTTCGTGTGAGCGTTAAAGTGCTTTAGCCACTCAACTCCAAGCTCGTTGTTTGTCCAGCCCTTGTCACTAAGTGCGATTGCCTAGTTGCGCGGGATCTCTTCCTCCTCGTACCAGGCAGAGAGATGATACTGGCCAGCAAAGATGAGGAACGGTGGGACTGACCAGCCAGCCGCGTTGATCGCAGCGATCAACGTCACCCACTCACGATTGCCTGGCTGGATAGCCTTTGGCCTGCCTCTTCTCTCTGAACCTGTCACGACAAGCTGAGTCGTGATCTTGCCCATCATAAAGCCAGCCTCGTCGAAGTTATAGACGTCCTCATCGCAGATGCCGTACTTGGCCTTTGTCTGCTCCACCAGCTCAAACCAGCTTCTAATCAACACAGTATCCTCGCAGAGAGCTCTCTGCCTATCGTACGCTCGATTGAAACACGTCTTAAGAGAGTCTGTACGCCTAACGAAGTTGGCTGGCCACTTTTGCCTTACCTGGCCTGCGCCGCGCGCAGCCAGCAGCTTATCAGCCATATCGCGTATAGCTGCGTACGTAGGCGCAAATCCACGTTGGTCTAGGTCGAGTATATACTGGACTATCACCTCCTCTTCTCTCTGGGTAAGCTTCTTTGAGTTGGGTTGGCAATCGCGTCGTTCGAGGGACTTCGAACGTCCGCGCAGCATCTCTATACGATCGAATTTGGGTTTGGTTAAGAGCTAGAATTGCGATATGTATATCAGCTTCACGAGAAGCTTTTTGGGCTTGTTTTGGTAGAGGCATTGTACAAAGAGTTTAGATGGTTCATTAAAGTTGGTGGGGTGGCCCACTCGCTTGCCTGGCCCACTCGCTTGCCTGGCCCACTCGCTTGCCTGGCCCACTCGCTTGCCTGGCCCACTCACTTGCCATACATGTTAGGCCTATTGTCTAGAATACCTACGCGTATTTCTTAATCACAACGCCCATTCACAGCTACCTACAGTATCTTTTTACGCGCTTATTACTATGAGGAGACAGCCGAAAGGTACTAAACGCGCGGCCGCGTCTAGTAATAGCGACGCTGGTCTGTTAAAACGTCGCAGGCACACTGAGAGGGGCACAGAGAGCCAGCCCGTAGTTGTCGACGCGACACAGCCATCATCAACGCGTTAAGCCCTAGATGCTGCTAGCTAGGCCACCAATTTCGAGACACAACTGCGTAATTCGGTACTACAAAACGCGATTACCGTGCCCGTCGAGTCTTCTGAAGCCGCCACAGTGGCCCTAACAACAACAGCAGCATCTAGCGACGACGAGGATACTGGTCTCGATAAGGGATACGCGGATGATTTTGGGGGGATAGAGTGGGAGCGCCTGCCGAAGTACATGCGGCCGCCGTGTACATCGAAGCGCAAGAAAAGCTGGGTATATAGTCACGGCTATCGCGTCGCTTTGAGAAGTAGCCCAAGCCGAATCTTCTGGATCTGTAGGCTCTGCCATACTCGCAAAGCGCACGACGTTGCCGGTAAGATTGGTGTAGAGACAACGTTCGCGACAAGCTCAGCAGCAGCTCATCTGCTTTCTCGCCACCGTATATCGAGACCTGGCGCGCCAGTACAGCTAGCTAGCCGTGGGCAGAAGACGATTACTATAATAGCTAACTCTGGTGTAAGAGTTAGCCAAAGCGTAGCGAACGAGCTTGGTAGTTTTAATATACAGGCGTTTCGAATAGCTGCTGTAAGCTAGATTATTGACAACAATATCGCGCTGTTTCAGTTTGAGAGCCCCGCGTTTCGATCAATAATACGATTCTCAAACCCCGAAGCCGAGAAAGCCTTGTAGGCAAACCATGAGAGCGTGTCGCGCTATGTAATGAAGCTGTATACGTTTATGCAACCTTAGGTTGTCGCGAGGCTGCGCACTGTAGTGAGCAAGATCTATATAAGCTTTGACGGCTGGACGACTAGAGGCGGCAAGCGTGGCTTCTTTAGTATAGTCGCTCACTTTGTATCAGCCAGCGGCATCCTCGAGGACGTTGCTATCGACCTACTGCAGCTCGCAGGTGCTTACACAGGCGATAGGATAGCTGATTGCGTTGAAAAGACGCTGTTAGAGTTTGGGATAACAGCGCCGAAGCTGGGCTACTTTATGCTCGACAACGCGTACAACAATGACGCAGCTATCGCTAGGCTTGGTAGCAAGTACGGGTTTTTGCCAAGCCACCGACGGCTGCGTTGTAGCGCTCACACGATTAATCTCGTCGGCTAGGCTGTAATTTTTGGCGTAAACAAAGACGCATTTAACAACGACGACTCTAATATACCAGTAGGTCTCGCTAGGCAGCTTAACACCGCAAGTAATACTAACTTCGCTGTTTAGGATGCGGAGCAATTCATAAGTGACTGGCGCAAGGATAGGCCGCTCGGTACGCTTATCGACGCTATCAATTACATTAAGACGCCGCAGCAATACGAGACGTTCTCTAGCTTTCAAACAATCGCTAACTAGGACCTGCTATCTAGCGAGAAAGTCAAAATACTTGAGCCTGTAAAGCCTGTCGTTACACGCTAGAACTCCTTCTGCTTAGCCTTTAAGCGGGCTGTACAGCTACAGGGAGCGTTTAACTTGTATATTAATTACTATGTTGCTGATTAGCGTCGCCTTGACGATTATGCTAGGGCGCACAATAACAAGATGCCTACCGCGCCGCGATAGATAAGGTCGGGCGGGCTGTCGGCCTACGACTAGCAAGTAATCGCTGATTATGTTCAGGTCCTCCAGCCGCTAAAGATGGCTACAAAGCGACTAGAGGGGCGCGGGAAGGCTGGTCGCTTTGGGGCAATATATGAGGTTATACCTGTCTTTGAATACCTTCTTGAGAGCCTTAAGGAGCGGATTCGAGGCTTTGATTGCGTCGATTTCGAGCAACCTAACGCGCTGGAGGATCACTTCGTAATTAATACGAAGGCTGCCTGGGCAAAGCTTAGCAACTACTACCAGAAGCTCGACGAGTCGCCCGTGTACTACGCCGCGTGCTGCCTACACCCATATTACAAGCGCTATTGCGACAAGGCGTAGCGTGAGAAGCCTGAGTGGCTTACTGCTGCCCATCACGGTTTCCAGCAACTCTAGGGTGAGTACCAGACTCGAAGGAGCCCGCCAGTTCGCCGGAAAGAGCCTATCTCAAGCGCTATCGACGACGCTATCGCCGCTATTATAGATGACAACTCAGACGACGACAGCAATCTTAACGAGTACGAGAAATGGCGCCGAGACGAGCCAAAATGGGCGAAGCAGCAGTACGAGAGCGCAGACAGCAGCGCGATTAAATACTGGGTTGCGCTTTAACCCAAGTATCCTATCCTCGCGCGCTTTGCGCTCGATGTATTAAGTATACCGGCTAGCAGCTGCGAGTGTGAGCGCATGTTCAGCGAGCTTGGGGATCTCCTCGCACCTTGACGCCGTCGTATTGGGTCGCAACTACTCGCCGCGCTTCAATGTATACGAGCTTGGATGAACGCTGGCGTCTGTTTACCTAATCAGTCGGTTTGTGATACACTTAGCAACAGCGACATTGACAGGCTGTATAGCCTCGACGAGTGGCAAGCTTCGAGCGATGACGACGGTAATTAACGGGCAAGTATATCCCATTAGCTGTTGTATACTTAGCTTGTGAAATATAGCTAAAAGCTTTACACGGCGATAGTAGCAACACGGGCAACTACACGGGCAACTACACGGGCAATCACGACAGCTAGGGACTACATGCTGCTCCTTCCTAAAACGGCAACTATATAACCAAATAACCAAATAATTAATCAATCAAATACGCTCGTATGGGCCTATCAAACAAGCAAATCAAATACGACACCTGGAGAGACCCATATCAAGCAAATAGAGTGCCTTATATTTGCTTGATTTGCTTGTTAGCAACTATGTTAGATAGGAACCAACCCAGTTCGTCATCTCTGTTGTTCGCCTACAAAAATGCTACCGCAGCCGCTCTAGCCTGTAGCCTTCCTGCTCTGTCTTGCGCCGTAGTTGAATGTCAATCCCCTGCTTCTCGACTGTTGCCATCCTCTCAAGCTCCTCATGCCGCGTCTCTGCTGCTGTCGATGCCTGCCTTTGAGCGTCCTGTTCCTCTTCTATGGTCTTTCGCTTCACACCGCGCGGATGCTGCTCGCACAAATCACACTTTGCCTCCCCTGCCTCACACTGTCGTCTGTCTTGCCTTCCGTCCATATGCCTGTCTACAGCGGCTCTCCGGCACGAACCTGCTGACAGAAAGTCTTTTGCCGGTGGCTCCAGCTTGTAGCCAAGCGACTTCTCTACGCACCAGCTCTTTGTCTGCCAGCACGCTCTCAACACGATGGACTCGCTACTTGCGCCCGTCCGTCCAGCCCCGCCGCTCTCCTGGACATACTGGAGCAGCAAGCGACACATGGAAACATGGATCACAACCCTAACGCCTGCAGCGTCCAAGCCAAGACTCAGCATGCTGGTGGCTGTGCACAGCTTCTCTAGCCCCGATGTGAAGTTGCGGACCATGCGTGACTTCTCGTCGTCAGTGGCCATCTCACGGTAGTACGCTGAGCACTAAAGGAGCTTTGCTAACCGCTTGGTTTCCTCCACGCTTGTACCAAACACAATAATCTGGGCCTCAGCTCCATATTTCCTCCTCTTTGTGGCAACAAGCTTTGCAAGCACCCGTCCAACGTGCTTCGTTCGTAGTCCAGCACCTGGTAGGCAATGTTTGTTCGCGTAGTGCGCTCATCGCGGCAGATGGTCAAAGTCTTTAGGTCAAGCCCTGAGGTCTGCAGAAAGACAGATTGCAGCGTGGGCAGAAGCGCGTTTTAGATGACTTGCATATTGTGTCTACGAATTAACGATCTGCTGTGTGCATATCTTGAAAATCCCGCCTCCGAGCTCCATACCCAATCTGAAAACCAAGGAAACTATGCCATTCACGGCTGATCTTCCTAAACTGCAACCTTTTTTCTCTTATATGACCGGGCGCTTCCTCATACCCTCTCGCATACGCGGCTCCCGCAAAGAGGGACTCGTGTGCTGCTTGCTGGTCGATAACTTCCTCTAGAGGCTCGTAGTCTCGCTTAAAGCCACCGCATTTCAGGTGCTGCCGTGAGATAGCAATAGCTATATGGCGATACTTCCGAATATTCAAATTTGGAATCCTCAGACGCAACGCTGCTTGCTGTCTAAGGGCCTTGCTCAGACGGTCACTGTCCCAATTTGCCTCTTTTTTCGGCCACACATATACCGACGGCGTCTCTTTTCGCTGGAAGACGAGGACCTCCAGCTGCTGCCAGAACGGCAAGATGAGCCATAGATAATAGAATAGCAACTCGCTGACCTCTTTGGGAATGTATCGGTGTATGATCTTGAGCGTACCTGTGGTATTGTATCCTTTATGGTAGCTGGTTACTGTGCCAACGAGTCCATTCTCCATAAAGATACTGCGGTGGTGTCCTTGCGATGTATTCATATGTCCCAAGGTAAGGATCTCCGTTCCTTGCGCGGGCTGTCCAGAGGTTATATGAATTAAGATAAGCAGCCTCTCTAGAAACAAGTCAATATCTTTAATATATTGCTCCACCCTTTTGTTTCGCCATTGTATGCGACCATGTTTGATTGACTTGATGAACTCATCGCCTATCCATTCGTTCTCGATTACGCGATCTAGGAGCCACCGTTCGCTCCCGGTTTTCCCGCAGCTTAGTGTCTCGATGTTGCGTGGATCTTTCAGAAACGACCATCCAGTTTGGTTGTTTGCGTGGTTATCTTCTAGCTTGTAGAGCTTCAATGGAGGTACGACGTTGCCTCTGCTTTCTTCTGGATGCAGCAACATAAGCTCACTAAGTTCTCTCTGTGCGAGTCGAATTTGGACCGCGACAAAGTCTCGCAAATCGCCCATGGTCAGGCTGGCATCATAGTACGTAACCTTTTGGAAATCTTCACACCAGATCATAAAGCCCATTCCTGTCGCATTGCTCGCGACTCGCCTGGCGAACTGACGCAGTTTATAAGCCCAATCAAAGGGGAGCGCAGGCCTTGGACAAGAAATCGCTGTCGCAGATCGTCGAGCATGTCTGCCGGATATTCTACGTGCCCATCTTCAACTGCTACGACCGCCCGTTGGATCACGAGCATCTGCGCTATCTCGATAAATTTTAAGAGCACTAGCGAATAGCCGGCAGCGTCGTGGAAAGTCCCTGCGTCCCTCTCTTTTATGCCGAGCACAGCAAGGAAAACCACAACAGCGCTTTCGTAGATGCTACCGCGGAGACGGTGATCCAGCAGGGATATGCACAAAGATAAGCCTGCTCTATCCAAGGCTCTTGTGTCTGTACTTCCCCCTTGGCTGACGCTCTCTGCCAGGTTTAGTACGTCATGAATGCTTGCCAGCTGCAGTGCTGTATATTGATGGGGGAGCTGGATCGCTTCATGTCCTCGCTGGCCTCGACTCGTACGACATACAAAGCAAAGAAGACATTTCCAGGTATACTTGTACGCTCTGTAGGTCTCCTTTCTTAATTTCACCACGAGTTCTCTCTCGCTAGCTCGCCTCGAGTCGTCGTTGACAAAGCTGTTGATCCGAAAGCGGTCAAAGACACCGACCGATCCTGTCATCGCAGACAGCAGCAAAAGCTGCCTCAACCAGCCGGTCCAAGCTTTCGGTAAGTACTTGCAGGTGCGGTTCCGTAGATCGGTTGGGCAAATGCGCTAGACGGGCGGCTTTGAGGAGCGGGATTCCGCTGAAAATCTGTCGCCACCCTGTATGTTCCATCCATGGATTCACTTCGATATCTGTTGCTATGGGCTTACAGACGTCTGCACTAGCATCCAACATCTTTCGGTTGTCATCTAGCTCCGTGCTCACCAGCTCATGAAGCAGAGCCTCTCTAGAAAGCGCCAGTCTTCTTGCTTACTCTCGCTTTGCAAGAAGGCCAGCTATTGGTTCTGCGTCTTGCTGCGGAGTGACCTGGAGAAATCAGCATTGAAGGCCCCTTGAGAAAAATTGTTGGCAGTAAGCAGCCGTGGATATTGGGATTCCGTCTTCCATGAAGTCTTGTGTAGCGTCGTGCCGACCTCCGCGTTTCTTCCGCACGGCTTGGTGCTCTTGAAAATACGCTGACATCCTCGATTGCGCACTGGGAGTTGATCGGATAATGTGGATGCATCGAGAGCATTTCTCCCCACAATGTAAGGTGAGTCCCGGGATAGGAGGCGAGCCAGGTTTCGGTCGGGGGATCTAATGCCTCGCTGGATCGACGATGTCCGGGAATTCTGCCTGTAACCTTCTCGCGATGCTTGCAGCTCCGCCTGTTCTATCGCGTGTTCGAACGTCGGCGTGGGATGCGTGCTTACTGCGGAGATGAGTAGCCAGCGCTGCTGGATTGATACAATATCCGTATTCTCGACACAGCAGGAGGTTATAGGGCTGCAGAACTTCAAAGAGATCCATGGTCATAGATGTTGACTGAGTGATGGTGTCTATCCTTGCAACGCGGCCTTTTCGCTGCATTACGACGCAATCTCAGGATGCGCGTTGCAGGGGCTCTCAGTTTTCTCCGACGCCCAAATTGTGCAGCGATTTTTGTGAATCCTAATCTCGCACAGTCCGCCGGCGAAATGGAAGACGCAATGCATGATGATTGGCTAGTCAAAAGAATCCACCGAAGTTGACCGCAGCATAAGATGGAGGGTGATCGTACAATGAAGAACGAGTTGTTGGTGTTGGTGTTCGCTTTGTTGTACGCAAAGATCAGGATAATTTGTCCTTTGTAAACAAAAATGTTGCGTTGTGCGGTGACTGCGTCAGCCCAGCGTATCGTCCGGAGCTCTTCCCCGCGTGCTGGCATACCACTTGTCATATGTATGGCAGCGTAGAGCAACCGCACAAACCAATCGCTGTCGCGCAAATAGCGCTGAAGCTTCGCTTTGCCAACCTTCTTCTTAAATGAACACCCGCGCTCTTTCGAGAAAGCAAGTATGCTCACAGCCCGAAAGCGGCTCTGGAGGTTATTGACGGGCTGTGCTAGGAAGGAAAAGCCTGGGCGATGAGTGGTAAGATCGTCCTGGATGCGATCTAGTCGAATGTCCGGCCACCATCCAAACAACAGGTCCTGTAATAGGTGCTGCGTGCTGATTATAACCCTGTGAATGACATAGCGGAACTGCCGCATGTGAATGTTCGCTTCTGCGACGTGTAGCGTCAAGCCATCACTCGACCACGATATATTCGTGCGAGGGCCTTCGCGTCTGGCAATAGCTCGCCCATGCTGAAGTCGCTCAATAAGATATCCAACGGGGGCAAGACTCCCTCGTTGAAGGTACTTAGGCCTGATGTCTTCGCGTAATCGCTGTGCTTGGTCAGAATAAGCCGTTCGATTGGGCCATGGGACTTGGCGATGGTTGTAAGCTGTGAGAGGCAGAGCGTACTCGAGGATGATCAGAAGCCCAACCCATATGAGTGCTGACAGATATGGCGTGTAGTCATAAGACTTCCTGAAGCAAAGCTCGGTAGGGTGGATGCCTAAAACGCCTGAGAAGTGGACGATCGCGTTGCGCTGCATCTTTCCGTCCGGCGAAAGGTCTGTCCAGAACACCACAAGGAGCTGGAAGAGGCTCTCGCAAGTAGCATCGCACGAGCCTGGCTGCACAGGCCCATGGTCTGCCTCTTAACAAGAACAGCCATACGATCCCAAACGTAGTCCAACATGGCTGCCTGCGCGGTAGTTAGGTGCAAGTCGGTGATGTCGCTCGTGAGATCCTTCAGATTTCGCGACAAGGCTCTTATCCTGAACACATAGCAAAGGAATCGTTCGTGATAGCTGTAGTATCTCCGCCTAGTCTGTTCGCGTTGAGGAAACTCGAATGGGAACGCGAGAAAAGAGGGAGTACAGCTTCGAAGCCAGCAACGCAAGACGCGAGGAGTGTGCTTCACTGTCTCCTCACACCGCCGAAACACAACCTTGCTAGCTTCTATAATCTTCCAGATGACCCTTTCAGATCCTGCCGGACTAACACAGTCGAAACCGTTCCAAAGGCCCAGCGAGAGGTCTCTGAGTGTATCTGCACACGGCAGTGACGCAGCCGCAACAACAAGATGGTTAGGCTTGTTGGCAAATCATGTAGGCCACTCGCAACCTTTGAGCCACTCAGTGTTCTCGTCGTGGTCCACCTCGTCGTCCAAGGCTACCGAATGACTTTGCTCGCTTAGCAGGCGTTGTTCTTCTTCCGTCTCCATAAGTATCAAGGCTTCTTCTTCGCTGCTCAGGCGATCTTGAGATACGTGCGGGCCGTGATAGATGTCCGAGCGCATTGAAGGTGGCTGATCAAGTTCGGTCACCGTCCAGTACTTCGGGCTGTACTTTGTCCAGCTCTGCAGCGCACAAGCAAGCCTGAATTTCTGTCGCAGGCACTCTGGAGCGCTGATGAGATGCCTTTTCTTTGCGTGTTGTCGCATATGGTCCCAACTTATACCCTTGAACACGGGACAGTGTAGGCAGGAGTAACCGGAAGTAGGCGCGGCAAGATAAGAGAGTAGCGCAGACCCATCCCGGCGGGGCTTGAGGTCCGTGATGGTTTGCGCAGCTGGCAATCCATCAAACTGTGCCACTATCGTCCGTCTTGGGCGAAAGTGAAGCTTGTGGGCGACGCGTAGATGAGTATCTAGGTTCTGGAAGGGGACTGCGACTTTCCAGGAGGTGCAAATAATCACTTGCTCGATAGCTACAAAGGTAAGCAGATTCAATGCTGCATTATCAGACTGCTGTTTATGTTTATGCTGTGTAGACTTGATACGCACAGCAGGAGCTGCTACAGACTCCGGCGTTTCTACAACACAGGGTGTAGGCATGATAACAAGCAGCAGCTTGATAAAACAGAAGAGGGGATAACTTCAGGTTAACATTGAATGTTCAGAGTAGGAATTCGCGAGACGTTACAAATTGGATGCGTTATACGGATACCTGACGCTACGCCGAAACGGTGTGAACTAGATTGCGATCTGCAATGTTAATTCACGCTATACCTATAACGTTTGAATGTGGTGTGATTCGCAAACGCATCATATACTAAGGCACCTCTCTTAGCGTTCCTCGCTAGCCAGCGCCGTGACATCACGCAAACTTACACATTACGCGAACATGCGCATCACGCGAACATGCACATCACGCGAACATGCGCATTACGCGCACGAACACGGTACGTCATAAATTCCTTTGTTTAATATCAAGATTGAATCCGATCGTTTAGATTATGCTAGGTACTATTCGGACTCTCGACGACACATCTCTCTCGACATCTAGCCATGGTTCGCCAAAAGACCCGCGATGCCTTTATGGCAAAGACATCCGTCAAGGCCAAGCTCTCAGCACAAGCCAACTCTAGCTCCATGAGCCTCGAGGTCGGTTCCTGTTCCATTGCTCCAAACAAGTAAACTAACCTTCACAGCCCGTGTACATCGGTATCGCTGTCGCAGACGGACTTGGTAGCTCAATTGACATTGCGTTTGTTATCCACGACGGCACCTATTCAATGGACTTTGCAACTGTCTCTATAGGCGCGGAATTAAGTAGCAGCTCTGCGCCTTCAGCCGCAACTTCCCAGGCCAACTCTGGAACTACAACTCCTGCAACAGCTGAGGAGCGTGCCGGTTACTTTGTCGAGGAAATCATCAGCAAGATCAAGCACTACCGTGATGAGCATTTCTACAAGTTTGTTGGCGCTGGTCTAACTACAAAGGCCGCCAAGACTTGTCCTCAGCTACCAAACCGCTTGTGGCTCGAGTTGGATATTGTGCCGTTGGTGCTGGAGCCTAGTTCTGGCAGGCACAATACCAGTACTCCAGATGCACCCAAGTATATGATGATAGATGAAGAAGCAGATGCAGTGGTAAGGAAAGCTCTAGGGTAAGCATTCAGATGCTGATAGCCTTGTATAGCTCTCCGCTCACACATGCAGGTACTTCGGCAAGGCCAACCAACCTCGCTTAGAGGTCGTTTACCGCAATGAGGTTGGTGTTGACAGCGATGGCGCAATTGTGATTGCAGACGAGCCAAGCTATCGAGATAGTGTCCATCCCAACACGTACGCGGCGACCATGGTCTACGCTGATTCGCTCAAGAAGCACGGCACGAAGATTGCCTTCTTCAACAGCACCCCTCAGGGTGGGGGTGTCGCCTTGATGAGGCATGCGCTGATCCGCTTTTTGCGACTTATTGATATTGATTGCAAGTGGTAAGTCACTACACTGCACAGCTGATCATCGCTCACACTTCACAGGTACGTTCCAAAGCCTAAGCCTGCTGTCTTCCGTATTACCAAGAACAACCACAACACCCTCCAGGGCGTAGATGAAACCGGCCTTCGCCTCGAACAAAAGTCAATCGACATCCTCGATGAGTGGGCCAGGCAGAATGCCAAACGCTACTGGATCGCCAAAGGCAGTCCACTCGCTCCTCGAGCGGAGGGCGGTGCTGATGTCATCATCATAGACGATCCCCAGATGCCTTCTCTTGTTAAGATTGCCAAAGAGCTAGACCCCTCCCGTCCTGTCATCTTCAGAAGTCACATCCAATTACGCGCCGATCTGGCAGACCAGGAAGGTACGCCCACCGCTGAAGTTTGGAACTGGGTATGGAACAACATAAAGCAGTGCGATGCTTTTATTAGTCACCCCGTTCGCGAGTTCGTGCCTAAGGATGTAACGGCAGAGAAGGTTGGGTATCTTCCTGCTACAACGGATTGGCTCGATGGTCTGAACAAACAGCTAGACAGTCGGGACGCACAATACTACATGCACGAGTTTGAGATGGCCTGCCTCGACAAGGGTGCCAATCGCCTGGCATTCCCAGCACGCCCATATATCACACAGATCGCTCGTTTCGATCCAGCCAAGGGTATCCCAGACGTTCTTGCTTCCTACGCTATCCTTCGGCGAGAATACATGAAAGACAAGCCCATCGAGGTGGTCCCACAACTTGTTATTGCCGGCCACGGCGCCATCGACGACCCCGACGCAACCATCATCTTCGACAAGACAGAAAAGGAGCTCAATGAACTCTACGCCGACATCAAACACGACGTAATCGTCATGCGCATCGGCCCCGTGGACCAGCTCCTTAACGTGCTTATGGCCAATGCCCACGTCGCACTCCAGCTCTCGACGCGCGAAGGCTTCGAAGTCAAAGTTTCTGAGGCCCTGCATCACGGTATCCCCGTCATCGCGACGCGCCGCGGCGGCATCCCACTCCAGATCGAGCACGGCAAGTCAGGCTTCCTCGTAGATGTAGGCGAGCACGACGCGGTGGCCAACTACCTCGACCACCTCTTCACCGACAACGTATCGTACATCACCATGGCCAACTACGCAGCCAACCACGTCAGCGACGAGGTTAGCACCGTCGGCAACGCGCTCAGCTGGCTGTACCTGTCCGACGAGCTGGCCAACGGTGCGAAGAGGATCGAGCTGAACAGTCGCTGGATCAACGACGTCGCGCGCGGGAAAGCCGGGTATCCGTACCGGCCCGAGGAAAAGGAGACGACGCTTAAGCGCGAGAGCGCCATGCTCGATCTGAAGCATCAGCCGGGTCGCAGCAGGCAGAACAGTGCGGTGCAGTAAGGGCGGTTGGCAGGATACTATACTAGATCTTTGGGTAGATCACGTTCCTTATGTTACAATTTTCATTTGTACAAGTCGTGTCCTGTTATGGAAAATAAAGCTGAGTTAAAGATGTTTCAAGCAAGAGCAGCCAGAAGAGCGGCGCGGTGCGTGCCTTAATGTTTCACTAGGTAACGTAAGCGGCAACTGAGCTGCGCACTAAATGCAGCTATGTACCCCAACACATTAATAACTCAACACTTCAACATCGTACTGTAGTGCATAGTACGTTAAATTAATCCTCTACTTCTGCTGCACCTTTCCTACGCGTGCGCTTATTGTGCCCTGCCTCGCTGCACCTCTTACAATGTCTAATACCCCCTCTACTATCACCTGTTCGCACCCTCCCCTCACGCCTTTCTACCTCAAACTGGGCCTCAACATCCCTCTGCCTCTTGTTGCGATAGAGTCCCTCCCTTCTGAATTCGCTTCGTTTTGCGCTTTTTACGCTCAGAAGCAGCAGCGTTGGCCGCCTTAAGTTTGGCTACTCTGGCTTCAAGCAGCGTGTGAGAGTGCGCCTTCAACGTTGACCCCTTCTAAACCTGCAGCACCATCTCAATAATAGAATAAGGTGACGAACTCTTGTGGTCCCTTATTCTCTTCAGGATCAGCGTTGTTTGAGCATCTATCTCCCAGGCGTTGCTTGGTGTTTTAGGTTGCCAGGTGGTAGGCCCTAGTAGAGGTGGTGTTGGCGTACGAAGCTTTACTTCAAGCTTTGATAGCACCACCTCTGGGTTATGTGGGACTACCGGTAAGCCAGTTGCTCGGAAGCTTGATAGGATATTATCCTTTGAAAATGCCTTATCAGAAACCTCCATAAAGGCAGCCAGGAATGCCTCCTTGTCGATGTGGTTAATCCTACAGTTTGCCAAGCCATTGATTTCCTTCTTGTACGCCTGCTTTAATGATGCAAAGCACCCAACATCAAGCGGTTGTAGTATATGGGAGGAGTGAAGAGGCATGCAGAGGGTAATAATCTTGCTTTCCTCACACAGATCCTGGAAGGCAAGCGACTAGTGGCTCTCGTGGCCATCAAGGAAAAGCAGGCGGTGACTACCCACTGTACGGGCCTGTGTATGCTGGATAAAGTGCTTCAGCCAGGCAACACCAAGCCCATTTGTTGTCCAGCCGTTCTTACTAACACCTATTCTCCAATCCTTAGGGTTGTAGTACCAGGCCTGGTCGTGGTTCTTTGCTCCGAAGATAGAGAAGGGTAGGATTACCCAGCCCATAGCGTTAATGGCGGTAATTAACGTTGCCCCCTCACGGTCGCCAGGCTAAACCTGTAATGGTTTAAGACGCCTCTCAGACGCTGTTACCACCTTAACAGACCCAGCAACGCCTATCTGGAAGCCAGTTTCATCTAAGTTGTAGGTGTCTTCGTCTAGGATGCTATACTTGGCTTTGACATTGCGTACAAGGTCAAACCAGGGGCTGATAATAGCTGGATTGCTACACAGAACTCTCTGGTGATTGCGCTGTCTGGTTACTTGAGATTTTATCTCAGGCTTCCGCTTAATCAGGTTCTTGGCCCATTTTTCCCAACCTGGTGTCTGCCACGGGCAGCCAGCAGCTGATTGGCAATTTCACGTACGTAGCTGAGCGTAGGGGCAAAGCCTCGTGCATCAAGCTTCCTTATACATTGTATAATTGTCTCCTCTTCATTCCCCTTTAGTCTTGATGGGTTAGGATGGGAATCGCGCCGTGAGGTGGTTTTGGCGCGTCGCGTCCGAAGGGTGCTTTCAGACACATCATAGATAGTAGCAGCACGTCGCTGGCTTAGTGGCGCATCGGATTTGATAGCTTGGATAGCAAGGATTATTCTGTCTTCACGAGGAAGCAGCTCAAGATTGGGTTGTTAAGACATTAGGATAGAAGGTGGATGAGGCGTAGTCTTGGCAAAGGTGCGCAGCTCAGTTGCCCGCGCAGCTCAGTTGCCTTACGTTATCTATAATTTTAATATTATATCTCGCTTTATATCGATTATAGATCCTTCTATAATTATCTTGTCCTTTATTTTCTGTAAGCCCAGGGTACCTTGCATGGTCACGTAGATTATCCAGCGACCAATCAGCCCACTACTCTATGTATATAAGCATAGATCACAGACCTCTCGGTCATCATGAGAATACACACACTACATACCATCTACTTACAGATAGGTAAGTGGGTCTCTGACAGAGTACAGATCGGAT